GTAAAACGTCACTGAAAATAACACTTAACATCAAGCTAAACTACCGATAAGTAAACCCTGGCAACGCTGGATGGCCAGTCACGTTCATTAGTGGCGTTTTCGGCTTTCAAATGTCAACGGCCAACTGTTCACGTGACCTGCATTTATGTCAAGTTGGCAACTGACAGGCTGCGGGTAGGGGCCGACGGCGACCGAATTACCGAAAACAACTCACCCTGAAGGGGGGCTGTGCATTGGGCCTGGCTGGCTGGCTGGCTGGGTGGGTGGAGATGGGGGTTCATCGACTGCGGCGGCTGAGGCTGCACCGGTGGTCTTATCAGTGCAAAGCCTCGACGCCTTAAGAAATCGATGCGTCAAAAACAACGGACCGCGAGGTGGATAGTGTATTAAGCCCTTTTTATGCACGGTGGCATACTATGCAAAAATTGCACAATGAAGACTTTTAAGGCCATGCTGATGACTAATCTTCTGCTGTGATGCTTAAATAGAAAAAAAAAACTATTTAACATTGATAAATATTTTATTTGTATCGTCCACAACGTTGTGGCAGATTTTGGCATGAGACAAAAACGAGATGACGGCTTCAGTGAAATTTACTGAACGATATTGTCAAGATGTCGGGCGCCACAAGGCTGCGTATTTGGTTAGAATGCACTATGTTACTTCTAAAATAATTCATTCTATTAGCAAATCAACGCTTTTAAACCAATGACGAAATTGCTGGTTAGATAATTGTAGAAAGGTATTTTAGACAGGATGCATGCAAACTGCAAGAGTTCTAAATGAGTAAAAAAATGTGAATACACAGAATGCCAATAAAGAAGAATCTGGTAAAGCGTTTATATCGCTCAGGCCGCGGAATGAGTTGTCGCTAGCCCAGTTCTCTGGTAGACGTCAACGAGCATTGCCAGTGTACAGAGAAGCATGCATGCAATGACAAAAGATATCGACAGTACAGCGATCCAAGGTGATGATATGCCCTGAAGGAGGACACAGATTGTTTTAGCAAACTCCGATAAGGGGGTTAAAGTTACAGAAATTAGATTTACCTGAAAGTACTTCAAAATACTGTAGGTCTGGAAGAAGCGGTGGAATAGGAGGTGTTTGTGAACGAATTGTGCATGGGTCAAAATAAATCAAGCGAAAGTTTTGAATCATTTCTTCCTCTAACTGCGCCTTGGAGCTTCAGGAGAATTTGGCAGAGACTCAACCAATCAAAGCTATTGCTTCATTTTCTTTTCCAACTTCGCCATTTGGGCTTCAAGAGTATTTGGGTGGAAGTCTGCCAAGCGAAGCTGTGGCACCATTTCTTCCTCCAACTTCACCATTTTGGAAGCTGTGGTCGTCGGCAGAGCTGTCGCATTTTCATTAGTCGGCGCACTGAACGCTGACTGCGTTTGCATTCTGGTAGCGTCCGAACTATTTAAGAATCAAAGATGCTTGCGGCAATTTCATTAACCTTAACACTCACACATTGCAAAACACACGACCATGGTAGAAATGGCGAAACAAGATATCAAACGCAATGACATGCAAGGTATTCGCACGTTGTAGGGTATGTCCATTTTCACAACTATGATGAAGTAGATTAGAAAACGCAGTTTTGATTGTGAACACTGCGGATGCTAACAGCCAGCTAAGTAAGTCGAAATGCATTTTCAGAGAATACTAACATAGACAGAAACATCACAAATGCGCAAAATTGATGGCATCGTTAAAAGGAAGGAAAGTATGCTCACCAATGGACATGGCCATGCTTTCAGAGACGTCCATATGGATGGACATATATCGTATCATAAAGAAAGCCGATGTCTTAATCTCCATTCACTGTCTTTCCATTAACTCAAAAATATTTGATGCAGTCAAATGCTAAAGACTGCATAAACGTGTATAAAGGTGTCGCGAGTGTTAAGTGTAAAACACGGATTAGGTCGAGTCCAACACTCATTGCCAAATTCCAATTGGTTGCTAATTCGGAAAGACAATTAACACGTTTACACAATCACGCGTGAACACATGTAACTTGACGCAATGTCAAGTTACACCCAAAATAATATCGTAAATTGTGCTGCAGTGTTAGCCTTGTGTTCTCAATAGCATCCTCTAAAAATGTCTAATGCCTCAAGTCCACGATTTAAAAAGCCATGCTTCATTATGCTCTTAGAAAAGGCAAATTTCTCCGCAGCCGTAGAATCAGTGAGTGATACCCGGTACTACTCACACCTAAACGAGTTAACACCTACTCAGGCGCTATTCCAAGTCCCTCTTCCCTCCCCTCCTCCCCCGTCAAACTCTCTATAAACCCACTTTCTATCAAATAGCCATCGTGATAAAGACGACGACTGCACGAGTTTAAATAAATCATCCAATTAAATTAAGGTGCCTTATTCATCAACTACCCGTCGTCCCAGTGGGAATTAAAGTAAAGTAAATCTAACCAATTGTCGTCCCAATCAAGTCGAGTCATTCCAGAACCAACTTAAAATGAGGTAATACCTTTTGCGATTGAAATCCCATTCATGATATGTGATTGTTCATCAGCCTAAGTAAAATCAGCTCTGAACTAATTACCCATGAAATACTATAGAGTGATTTCTTTCAAGCATACCTGCTCTCATGTTGCTCTCCTCGCTGCCTGCCCCCCGTCTTACCCCCCAAGGCTATAATCGAAGTTCTATCTGAAGCTCATAATTGTGTTTTGCAGGATAATACCAAAAATAGCTTTTCCTCCACCCAAGCGGCTCTTTTTACATCCATTATGGCTCTCTACAAAACTACACACTAAGTGGCGAAACCTACAGCACCCACAACTTTAGCATTTACTCAATCTGATGACTTGACTCATCAAAATTATCATATCCATCTACTCACCCTTGCCGCAGGGGTCTCCATCTCCTTTCCCTCCCTCTCCTCTCTCCCTCATTCTACCTCCCTCCATTACACTTTCTCCATCTGCTTCTTCTTCCACCAGTCCAGTCCAGTCCAGACCAGTATAATTCAGTGAGTTGCTCAAAGGAGCCGAAGCAGTTTTTACTGGCGCACTGGAGCACTCACAAATTCTCGATTCTCCCCAGGAGATGGTCTCTGTTTCCGACAAAAATTGACGCGAAGTGTTATAGACCCTCACAACAACAACCAAGCTCATTAAAGTGCAAAAACACGTGGTGACACGCCGCATTACTGAGGGAGAGTATCCACATCACAGACTCGGGTGACTTACTGTACCAAAAAATTATCTTTAACACGCAACGCCAAACAATTCAATCAAGACACTGCGGTGACCCATCGAACAGGCAATCGTCAAAAGCGAAAAAAATTAACTCAGGCAAGCACAAACGACACAATGTCAACCTCAGACGAAGAGTAAGAAGAGAGAAAAAACACATGAAACTCAAAAAATCATTACAAAAATTGCTTTGAAAAAAACCTACCAAAACGAACACCGACCACACGCGGACACACAGAAGCCACTATTCCCAAAATAAAAAAAGAAATGAAATATAGCGGCTAGTGACTTAGGCTACTTCTTCGATGATCCCTGGCAATCTCAAAGTAGATTTAATCATCCTCCGCCACACTACTACTCAAAAGCTCAACCCGAGATCCGACGCCCCCTCCGCCGCGCAAACCATTCATACTACTAACCATCGCCAACTTACGTCTGCTTCGCAAGCTGTATCACCGCAAGCAGTATGCCCGAGAGGCTGTGTCCTCGACTGGCCTTTGATTCCACATCTCTTGCTCATTACCGGAAGAAGAAGAAGTCTCACTTGTCCCTACCACTGTGCAGTCTAATTGATGGATGGCACTCATGTCAACACGCAGTTGTTGTTGCTAACACATTCTTACTTCCATTCGCCATAATTGTCGACTGTGTTTGTGACACCGCCATTGCGTTCTGCTTGCAAAATCGTATTGCGGATCTCGCGAACCTGCATGCATTCAAGTCTCATTTCAAAAGATGCTTGTCACTTGCGAGTCGCCGAATTTGGACCGATCAAACACACTTTGGAATAGTTGCATTGACTTGAATCACCTAGTGGCTAGTGACTTGGGCTACTTCTTCGATGATCACTGGCAATCTCAAAGTAGATTTAATCATCCTCCGCCACACTACTACTACTACTGCTACTACTCAAAAGCTCAACCCGCGATCCGACGCTTCCTCCGCCGCGCAAACCATTCTTACTACTAACCATCGCCAACTTACGTCTGCTTCGCAAGCAGTAAGCCCGCCTGGAATTAAGTTGTGTTTGACATTTGTTTCCAGATCCATTTCTCATTACAAGAATTCTCCTTTGTGCCGACTACTGTGCAGTCTGATTGATGGTACTCATTTCACCACGCAGTTAGTAACACTTTCTTATTTATCTTTCAAATGGCTGAAATTTGACCGATCAATCCCACTTTGGAATATTTCGATTGACTTAAATCAGCTAGTGGCTAGTGGCGTGGGCTATTTCGTTGATCACTGGCAATCCCTAATCCCCCATAAAACTTAGAAGCTCAGCCCGAGATCCGACACTTTTGCAAAGCTTTCATACATACCATCGCCAACTCTCTGCTTCGGATGCAGTTTGCCTGGTATTAAACTCTGTCCTTGACATTCTATTTCAGATCTATTTCCCCATTTCAAGAGGTCTCTTTTAACCAAACTTGCGTGCGGTCTGATGGATGGCACTCATGTCAACACGCAGTTAGTAACACTTTTTTATTTCGATTTTGCACAATCGTCGACTGTGTTTGTGACACCGTCATTGCGTTTTGCCTCTACAATATTTTTTTTAAGATTTGGTAAATTAATCTTGTCGATGTGCCATTACTCATATGTAGTAGCAGATACAACCTGTCTTCACCAATCTGCTAATGTTGGGCTACTTGGCTTCTGGTTACTTTTCCGAACCTCCATTTATGTCTGATTATAAGGGTGCTTTCTCCCTCAACTGCCATTCACGCGAAGCGAGAACGACCAATCCCACTTTCAAATATTTTGACTGACTTAAATCGGATACACTGTCTTGTATGGTAGGCCTCCAATTCGCCAGATCACTGACGCTTGCCAACAGTTCAGAATAACAAGCCGACATTCCGACATTCTGCACACTCGTCGTTGCATTTCCTTTCAATGCATCTACGTACTATGAACATATTCCTTGAGTATTGTCAAGTATTCAAGACACAGCGCATTTATTTGACTGGTCCTGTGCGCCAGCGTGTTGTTCCACTGATTCAAGCACTCATCAACGATAAAGTCACTTCTGACTAGCATTATGTCACAATTAATGAAACTTAGGTTTCGACTGCTTGTGACAACAGTGGTTAGTCAAACAGTATAGTTATATTGACAAGTGGCTTATTTACATGCAACCCAAATGTATCGCGCTGACTAAAAACCTGGCAACATCTATCGGTAGCCATGCAACAACTTGAAATTATTTGGAGAACTGGAAAGCAATCATCTGATTACGAAAATGGGCCTCAGGTCGCATTAAACAAACCCAGGCATTGGGAAAGCACGGGAGAGAGTTGACTGAAATGCTGTTTTCCAAACAGAAGTGTACTGCAATAGGGTTACTCATTGGTAACCGATGAGAGGGTTGTAAAAAATTTGACGGAGATCATCACGTCGAGGTCACCAAATGTAGTAGCTTATGGTCTAAGCAATGGTGTGCAAAAGATCCGTATCTCGGTTTGAGCTTGTAAGTTTCATATAATTAAGGGATTTCCATTGATTGACGACTTGACAAAGCCACTAGCCGACGGTCACTCGCCTTCTCAGTATGCAGTTTCTTTTTCTCATTTGCCCAATTTTGCTCGACTTGACCTCGACTGATTTATTGACACTGTGCGTGGCATTGCATACCTCCTCCGACACTGTTTCACAGTTGGTTTATACATGCATCCTACGTGAAGCTAATCTTCCTGTCCTGCATTGTCACTTAGCGCTGCCTTAAAATGACATTTTGACATCAGGTGTACCCGCAAGAATAAGGTGTCAATCGAGGTTGGTGTGAGTGGGCTTGTCGTTATTGAATGGAAAAAAGGAAACAGCTCAAATTTTTGCCACACATTTGTCCGCAGCCAAATAGTTGAACCGCTCGTTCTTGTCATCTAGGCAAGAATTTTTTGAATCGATGAATAATGATTGTGATTTGGTTCATAACTACGGGATACAGTTTACGAATCGGTGTGCGAAGTATGAATGCTGTTGCAAGACAGCCAATTAACTTGATGTTTTGGCCACCCAGTTACGGCTCCATTGCCAGACGTCCTCAGGACTCTACTCTTCTTGTGTAATTAGATGAGTTGTGGCATTATTCATTCGTTTGCTATCTACTTACATTCAAATCGACCACCCCATGTCTTTGGCTCAGTTGATCCTGAATGTGTTATCCATCCTGATCGAGGTCTGAGTCATCTAAAACAACAACCTGGACAACTGTGTGTGTAACCTCAATTAAGATGGCTCTGTAACGGGTCCCAGTGCGGTCTTGAGGAACAACACCGGGGCTGACAATTTACGTTGACACGGCCCGATCGAATGAAGGAGTCAAAAATGCAGATGGCGCGTAGCTCACCTAATTTATTGATGAGTCAACAGCGTGTGTGTGTGTTTAGATAGTTCCAAGTGCGTTTGCATGGCTTCGCTAAGCATCGATCTCTGAACGCACGCACCTGCGTTCAGTGCATTCACGAAAATAAAATCGATTGAACTGCTTTCGCGCACGACTGCCAGCTGTGCACGCTTGCTGCTCGTCACAGTTCAACCAAACCGGAAATTATTTGGATTATTGTCATGCTAAAGATTTCTGGTTTAATAAATGTCCATAATGCACTAGATTTAATCCTTTT